AACAGAAGCGGAGGGAATACCCTCCTTGTTTAACGTGGAGTCTTTGGTAGCGATAGGACGTCTCGCTCGGTTCTTGCACCGAGTTTGCTTCCCTTGGACGATCCGATCGAAGTTGCGGTTGGAGCTTCAGTACGCAGTAGAAGCTTGGTTGGATGAGTTCGACGGCCTAGCAATTGCTTGATTGCTCGGAGCCTAAGTACGCCGAGATCTCGAAGTTCGGTCCTCTTCAGCCGAGGATTCGAACGAGATCACGAACAAGCTGATTGCCAAGGAGTTTTCCAAGAATCAGGCTCGGTTCTCTTAGTTCTTAAGAGAACTGATTGCCAAGGAGCCAAATAGGTTCGGTCTTGATCAAGATATCAAGACCTCTCTTTTGATATCCATCATTGGCTATTTTTAATGGAGGAGAAGCATGGCCACTACCTCAAATTTTAGGATTATGGTTGAGGGGGACCATAACTTCATCCCTTAAATCTTGGGATGTGACCATTAGAGGTGAGGAGAACCATACTCCATCCCTTAAATCTTAGGATGTGACCATTAGAGGTGAGGAGAACCATACTCCATCCCTTAGAGCATGGGGAGTGGGTGTACCCAATCCCACGTTTTAAGCTCAAGTGGCTGACTTGGTCCAGCTGTACAGGCGTGCTTGACATTACAGGTGAGCTTGGCTTGTCAGGCGAGCTGGCGAGCTTTCAGGCAAGCATGCGAGTCTACATGCGAGCTTGTTCGTGCAGGCGAGCTTGGCGGGCTTTGGCATGCAAGCGAGCCTAGGTGCTACAGGCAAGCTTGGCCTTCAGACGAGGCTGTACAGGCGAGCTTGCCTTCTTCAAGCTGTCAGGCGAGTCTGTGCAGGCAAGCTTGCCTTATGCAGGCGAGGCTGTGCAGGCAAGGCTGCGCAGGCAAGCGAAGGGTGAGCCTGGATCATGCAGGAGAGCTTCAAGCTGTCAGACGAGCTCCGCAAGCGAGGCTTTGCAGGCGAGCTTCAAGCCTTCAGGTGAGCTAAGCACCTTTGCAGGCGAGCTTGCTCTTCAGGCGAGCTCCAGAACATGCCACGAAGAACAGACCATAACTTTCAAACCGTAAGTCGGAATTTGACGAATTATATATGAAAATCGACTCTCTCGACGAGATGGAGCCAACCAAACCTCCAAAGGAGGTTTGCCACCTCCGGTTCGCCAAATTCCTTACGGTTTGAGAGATATCAACGTTTTCTTTCTTTTCTGCTATTTCGGGTGAGGTTTTAGCAGCCTTGTTCTGAACTTCTCTGATAGGGATTAACGGTAATTTTTATTGCCTACAGATGTATTTCATATTTTGATGCTTAAGAAGCATTTGCATGACGAAGAGCAGCAGAGGGTGATTGATTCACCAGAGGTTGAGATTCAGGATGATTTGTCTACTGTAGAGATTCCGGTATGCATTCTTGCTAGAGAGAATAAAAAGTTTAGAAACAAAGTCATTCCATTAGTGAAAGTTCAGTGGAACCGGCAAGGAACCAAAGAGATTTCTTAGGAGCGCGAGGAGCATGTTCGTCGCGACTACCCGCACATGTTTGAACAGGTAAGGTGTTGATATTTAAATGTGCTTATATGCGTTGATAGATTTGATTATATGTGTTGTTTGGTCACATTTATATTTAACGCTAGAATGGGTCATTCAATACTTAGCTCTTAATTATTCGAAACATATGGTATATATATGGGGGTTCCTTGTTTGGATTTTTCGCCCGACGTACTAGTTCCGTCTAATTAGGGGTTAAGTGAGGATGTACGCATTTTAGATTGTTAAGTTTAAATGTTGCTTATGTTTCAAATCGGGAGATTAATGATACGAGATGTGTACGTGAGGGTTTGCTTGGTTGGATTATTCCCTTGTTGTGCTTTTCTCGTATTATTAATCTCTGCGATGCGACTGCGGAATTTCGAGGACGGAATTCTTTTAAGGTGGGGTGAATGTAAAACCCCAAAAATTCATGTTAATATAATTAATATGAGATTAATTATGATTTATGGATATTTATTCTGATAAATATAGTTAAATGGTATATGAGTATGATACCATGTATTTTGAGTATGAACGAGTCCATACATGAGGAAGAAAAGAGTCGAAACATGCACAACAGTCAAAAACATGAAAAACTAGAAAATTCCAGTCCGGTCGACCACCACGGTCGACTCCCTGTGACAAGGGAAAATGAATCATATTTAGAATTCTGGTGTGTGCCACATTGCCAGTTAACATACCAACTAGATGACCTACAGCCCATTATAACATCCAAGGTATCATGTTATAAACCAAAGCGTATCATGAATCCAGTTGCATTGATACTGGATAGTGTGAAATTTGTCTAAGAATCCAATTCATAGTCGAGTATTTGCAAAACCAAAGATGAGAAACTTTTTTAGACATTGTTGGAAAAAAAAGGCATCACGTAGCTGAAATGCTAACATGGTGATAAGAAGTTTAATTTTGTAAATAACTTTTGTGTGCCTCCACATTTGGAATTTGTCACGCCCCAAAACAACAGCGGAAAATGTATACGGCTTAAGCCACAGCATCGACCCGTTTACAAGACAAATCTCACGCACGTGTCAAGCCTAACACTTCATATCACATAGCTCCCACTCTGTCTTCTCACTATATGCTCAACCTTCAACAAAGAATCAAGGAAGGATAAGATGATTTTTTTAATGTTTAGGTGCCGTCCAAACTTCACCACGGGTAACTGCCATCAAGCTAAGTTAAACCATGGCTTGACAGCTCATGGTAAGGATTTGTGAATTTTGTCTAAAAGCCTCTTATAAATTCCATGTACACAACTATTTTCCTGAGGAAAAAATAGAATAGTTACTTTTGTTTAGGGGAAACTACAGAACTTAGTTTCAATTTTTGAGAAATATATCTTCATACGTGACACATGAACAATCTAAAAAGGGGGAAAATAAATTCACAGCTTACCTATGCAAAAATGTATGTGCTTTACCTATTTCACGCCTACTACTTGTAACGCTGGTCCAGCTCGTGCAACCTGGTTAGTGTGCTCATGCAACCTGGTTATTGTGCGATCCTGATTTGGAACACCAAAAATGGAGAACAAACAAATAAAGGAAGCGGTGTGGTGACTAACTGATTCATTGAGCTATTCCAATGTATTACTAGAGTCCATCATGTTTTTTTATTATTGAATTAACTAGTTGATTATTTTTTCTATAACAAGGATTTCTATAGATACCAAAAGATGAAAACTATTATTATCATAATTTTAATTTTACATTTCCTTAAATGTGTATGCTTGTACAATAGCATGTACTACGTGCATAATAATCGAAGTAACCCAATCAAAAACTGTGAACGCGGAGGCAATCCATCAACGCGGAGGCAAAGCTCATCAATTCGGTGGGGTCCACCCATGTGCCCATGCGTGAAACAATCCCAGGCAAGCGGATTTCTTCACCGGCCCACCAACATCTTATAAATACGCAGGTATTATCTAGGGTTCTGTGCGTGAGTGAAATTTTAGTCGGCTGCAGCAAGAAAAAAAAAGCTGCGGGAGAACAGCGGCTTGGAGAAGAAAAAAAATCTGCAGTGGGAAAAATCGCAAAAAGGCAGAGGGTTTCTTTGTTTCTTTTTGGCGGCTGAGCAGAGGAATTTGCAGCAGTTGTTGAGAGAGAAAAAGAGAGATCTTGAGGAGAGAGAAAATAGGGTTTTACAAAAGAGAGGTTTATTTCTTTTGGGTAAAAATCAGATTTTTTTCTCTGAGACGAGCTTGTGGGTTGTACAAGTCGTCGGTGTTCTTCTCATAGTGGAATCTCCCCTCACCCCTCCCGTGGACGTAGGCAAGTTTGCCGAACCACGTAAATCTCGTGTATTTATTGTTTTCTGATTGTTGGCTATTGCTTGTAGGTTCCCTCAATATTCGGTCTTAGAGCTGATGAGAGGAAGAGTGTATATTTCACTTTGATGAAATATATCACTTTCAATTCTTGTTTCCTTTGAGAAATAAGAATTTCATTATCTATTCTCGTTTCCTTTGAGAAACAAGAATATAGAGGTTGACTTGTGCTTTTGTGACAACAAAAGCCAGGGCTCTCTCTCAGGTGATATCGCTTCCGCGGCGGTGGGCGTGTCTCTGCTCCCAACAATTGGTATCAGAGCTGTTATTCAGATTGGGAGTGGTGTAGCTTCTGATTTGAGGTGGTGCTCGGTAATTTTCTGAGAGAAGCGGATTCATTAATACAAGCGGAAAATGGCGTCAACAAGTAAAACAGTTAAAGTGGGAATATACGAGATTGAAAAATTCAATGGGAAGAATGATTTTTCCTATTGGAGGATGCAGATGAAGAACACGTTGATTTCGCAGAAATTGCACAAAGCTTTGGCGGGAAAAGAGAAGAAGCACAAGGATATGTCTGATGAGGATTGGGAGGAGCTGGATCTGGAAGCACGGGCGTCGATTATCCTTTGCCTTGAAAGGGATGTAGCTTTCTTGGTAGATGGAGAGGAAACGACCGCGGGCGTGTGGTTGAAGTTAGAAAGCACCTTCATGACGAAGAGTCTAACAAACCGGATCTATTTGAAATCCAAATTGTATACTTGCAAGATGGAGGAGGGCTCATCAATCCGGGAATATATCAACAAGTTCGATAGGATTATATCGGATCTGAAGGACATCGATGTGACTGTAGAAGATGAGGATCAGGCTCTTCTATTACTTCTATCTCTGCCGAAGTCTTATGAGAACCTGGTGCAAACATTGATGCTTGTGGGAGACAATTTGACGATGGATGAGACTAGAACGGCGCTTCTAGGGGATGACCTTCGAAAGATTGCAACCGGTGACATGACTACTGGTGGTCCCAAATAGGAAGTGGTTTACTACCTATAGAAGCATTGATGGTGGAACCGTATTGATGGGGAATAACCATGCTTGTAAAACGGTTGGGCTCGGTGATATAAAAATCAAGATGCATGATGGAGTGGTCAGAACCCTAACGGACATGCGGCATGTTCCCGACTTGCGGAAGAATCTTATCTCAGTGGGTGCATTGGACTCCGGTGGCTGCAAGATTGTTACAGAGAACGGAGTGAAGAAGGTTGTTCGAGGTTCCCTAACAGTGATGAAGGATGTTCGTCACGGTAATCTATATACTCTCTCGGGTACGACAGTGACAGGAGATGCAGCGGTTGGAACTGATGGAAGTGGTGGAGACCCATGTGAGCACACCCGGTTATGGCATAGGCGGCTTGGGCACATGTCAGAGAAGGGTCTAGTTCTGCTTGGTAAGGAGGGTTTGCTGAAGAATCTGAAGAAACCTTGCATGGATTTTTGTGAGGATTGTGTGTACGGAAAGGCGCACAGGGTCCAATTCTTGAAAAGCAAGCACAAGAGCAGAGGTATACTAGATTATGTGCACACGGATATTTGGGGTCCGGCTCAGACAACTTCCAAGGGTGGTTCCAGGTATTTTGTCTCGTTCATAGACGATTATTCTAGGTATGCTTGGATTTATTTTCTTAAGCATAAGAATGAGGTATTCGAGACATTCAAGAAGTGGAAAGCAATGGTTGAAAACAGGACGGGTAAGAAATTGAAGACACTGAGATCTAACAACGGTACAGAGTATACAGATGGTGCTTTCAAGAAGTTCTGTGATCAAGAGGGCATTGTTCGACACTGGACAGTCAGGTCAACACCACAGCAGAACGGGGTCGCGGAGAGACTGAACCGAACATTGCGGGAGAAGGCAATGAGTATGCGATCTTATGCTGGATTGGGCAACGAATGGTGGGCAGAAGCGGTGGCTACAGCATGTTACATTGTGAACCGTTCTCCACATTCGACATTGGATGGTGATACACCCTATAGGGTGTGGTCAGGGGAACATGCGGATTATGAGAGGCTCAGAATTTTTGGATGTACCGCCTATTATCACGTCAACGAGGGAAAGCTTGACGCGAGGCCAAGAAGGCGATATTCTTGGGGTATGCAAAGGGCGTAAAAGGCTATCGCCTTTGGCGTACAGAAGATTTGAAGTTCGTGATCAGTAGGGACGTTACCTTTGATGAAAAATCCATGATTGCTAGGGCGCCCAAGGATGATGGTGTTGGGACTGTTGGGACTTCAAAGTCCCAGGTTATTAAGATAGAACCGAAAGACCAACCAGGTTCTAGTCATGTTCAAGTGGAAAATCAGGTAGATGATGAGCTTGAGCAAGAGGAGGTTCAGTAGGAGAACTTCCACTAGGCCAAAGCGAGCATACAAGCATGTACAGAAGCTGGGGGCTGATCAACCCCTGAAGCACTATGGGCAGGTTAATTTGGTTGAATACGCACTCTCGGTGGAGGAAGATGAGCCGGTCTCCTTCAAGGAAGCTATTCGGGACAAAGATAGTAAGATGTTGGTGGGTCGATGAAGAAATCCGCTTGCCTGGGATTGTTTCACCTATGGGCACATGGGTGGACCCTACCGAATTGATGAGCTTTGCCTCCGCGTTGATGGATTGCCTCCGCGTTCACATTGATGTACGCCATGGTGTGTACACGTCCAGATATTTCACAGGCGGTTAGTGTGGTCAGCAGGTTCATGGCGAATCCGGGAAAGGCGCACTGGGAAGCTGTGAAGTGGGTCCTGAGGTACTTGAAAGGTACCGTGGATACGGGTCTGTGTTTTGGTGAAGATACATGTCAGATTGACGGGTTTGTTGACTCTGATTATGCGGGCAATCTAGATAGACAGCGATCTACTACTGGTTATGTATTCAGGATACATGGAGCTCTAGTTAGTTGGCGATTGAGGTTGCAGGCTACAGTGGCACTTTCTACTACAGAGGCCGAGTATATGGCCATGGCGGAGGGAGTGAAGGAAGCATTGTGGTTGTGGGGTCTTCTAAACGATTTGGGGATTGAGCAGGAGAACGTGAACTTGTGGTGCGACAGTCAGAGTGCGATTCACTTGGCGAAGAATCAAGTTCATCATGCTCGTACCAAGCATATCGATGTCAGATATCATTTTGTGCGGGATGTCATAGAGGAAGGTGATATTTCTCTCATAAAGGTGCACACGAATGAGAATCCAGCTGACATGTTGACCAAGGTGGTCACAGGTAGCAAGTTTAAGCATTGCTTGGACTTGCTTCATATCAGCCCTTGTTGATTTGCCCAAGAGGGCATGGCCCTTCGGGGCGGTGATGGGGTGAGGTGGAGACTATGATGGAGAACAATAGTAGAACTACGGTTAGCTTGATCCCGGTGGAGGGTACGTAGGCAGTCGCGGTAAAGTGACGCAGTTGGTTTGGCCTAGTTTGGCCGATTTCAGATCTCTAGTGATGTTCGCGATGTTCTTCTGGTGTTCGTCCAAAATTTGAGGTGTATCAAATGATGTACGAGGTGGAGAATTGTGAACGCGGAGGCAATCCATCAACGCGGAGGCAAAGCTCATCAATTCGGTGGGGTCCACCCACGTGCCCATGCGTGAAACAATCCCAGGCAAGCGGATTTCTTCACCGGCCCACCAACATCTTATAAATACGCAGGTATTATCTAGGGTTCTGTGCGTGGGTGAAATTTTAGTCGGCTGCAGCAAGAAAAAAAAAGCTGCGGGAGAACAGCGGCTTAGAGAAAAAAAAATCTACAGTGGGAAAAATCGCAAAAAGGCAGAGGGTTTCTTTGTTTCTTTTTGGCGGCTGAGCAGAGGAAATTGCAGCAGTTGTTGAGAGAGAAAAAGAGAGATCTTGAGGAGAGAAAAAATAGGGTTTTACAAAAGAGAGGTTTATTTCTTTTGGGTAAAAATCAGATTTTTTTCTCTGAGACGAGCTTGTGGGTTGTACAAGTCGTCGGTGTTCTTCTCATAGTGGAATCTCCCCTCACCCCTCCCGTGAACGTAGGCAAGTTTGCCGAACCACGTAAATCTCGTGTATTTATTGTTTTCTGATTGTTGGCTATTGCTTGTAGGTTCCCTCAATATTCGGTCTTAGAACTGATGAAAGGAAGAGTGTATATTTCACTTTGATGAAATATATCACTTTCAATTCTTGTTTCCTTTGAGAAATAAGAATTTCATTATATATTCTCGTTTCCTTTGAGAAACAAGAATATAGAGGTTGACTTGTGCTTTTGTGACAACAAAAGCCAGGGCTCTCTCTCAGGTGATATCGCTTCCGCGGCGGTGGGCGTGTCTCTGCTCCCAACAAAAACTCATATCACAAAGGGGAGTTGAACCATATTTAGAATTCTGGTGCGTACCAGTTGACGTATCAACTAAATGAAGCCTACAAACACACCATGTACCATCCAATGTATCATGCTATAAACCAAAGCATATCATGAATCTAGCACTGCTATTGGGTCTTTATAAATTTTTTCTAAGAACTGGATTCATATATAGTTGAGTATCTATGGAACTAAAGACAAGAAACTTACCAACCATTGTTGGCAGGTAAAAGCATCATGTTACTCAAAGGCTGGCATGGTGGTTTGACGTCTATTTTCAGGAAATAAATTTGGTGTATCTTTATTTTCAGAACTGATTTTATACAATTTTTAGGAAAAATTCGAGCTTTTCTTTCGGGTTTCATTCTTATTTGTCATTGGGGAAAATTGGTGTTTAGGCTGGGATAAATGCTATTCGTGAAGGTCACACAAGGTACACTCCCAATGCTGGAACTTTGGAGCTCCGTAAAGCAATTTGTCATAAACTCCAAGGTTAGTAGTTTCTGAATTTAGCTGATGGGTTGGCTTTGGCGTTTTGAGAGCTAATTTTGGTTGGTTTATTTTGATTCCAGAGGAGAATGGTTTGACTTACGCACCGGATCAAATTCTTGTCAGCAATGGAGCGAAACAGTGTATCATGCAAGCCGTTCTTGCAGTTTGTTCACCTGGAGATGAGGTGAAGCCTGCCTGACTATTTTGCTAACCTCTTTGAAGGAAAGCTGTTTGAATTTTCTTTCAATATGTTTATTTTAAGTTGTTAATATATCATTTCTTTGCTGCTCTCTCCTTTTAGCTCTCTCGTTAGATTCATTCATTTGATCATTGTTAAATAAGCCAATACTTTTCCCATTTTAATCGGGAGTTTCGGGACTACTTCTTTTGGAAATCATTTCTTGTAATCATGCTTATACTAGCCATTTGGCTATTAATAAAAATAGGACCTTTGACAGCTGATCTCCTTTTTCGGAAAGAAATATCAATTATTGGCCAGAAAGAATCATCAACGATTGTCCCTTTTTTCGGAAAGAAAAACAACTGTTTGTCCGGAATTCTATGTTTTAAACCACGTAATAGTATACTTTTTATGCTTGCGTTTGATGCTTTTAGGGCACTTTTGGATTTACCCAGTCACTTGTTTGGTTGTCAAATTTGACTAAAATCCCAAGGATTATAATTCATAAAGTAGCTCAATCCTACTGATGAAAAAAAGGCAAGTATTGACCTTCCATTTTTTATTCGAAGGATCTCTCTTTCAATATAAAACTACTTTCCAGACAAAAGTCAAGGTGTTATGATTGAGTTAATGCCTTTCTAGATAAATATATGGGCATGTAAACAAACTTTTTGAATTATAATCCACACAATTTTCAAACAAAAGAAAACCAAGAAATTTGCATGCTAATCATTCAACAAGGCCTGAAGAAAAAAAATAGTTGTTGAATTGACCTCATACAGTCCTAGGTTATTTGGTATTCATTATGTCGAAACTTTCTCCATCTTTCAGCATACATAATAAATTTGCGTTTTGTTTTTGTTCATTGAAACGCTAACTATTTTGATGAGTTAATATATCCTTGACACCATCTTTTGTGCAGGTGATAATCCCAGCACCATATTGGGTCAGTTACCCTGAAATGGCTTGGTTGGCTGATGCAACACCAGTAATACTGCCAACAGATATATTAGACAATTTTCTATTAAAACCGGAGTCCCTTGCATCAAGACTTAATGATAAATCAAGGCTGCTGATTCTTTGTTCTCCATCAAACCCAACTGGATCTGTTGCATCAAGACTTAATGATAAATCAAGGCTGCTGATTCTTTGTTCTCCATCAAACCCAACTGGATCTGTTTATCCCAAGAAGTTGCTCGAGGAGATTGCTGATATAGTTCGGAAACACCCAAGGCTTCTGGTAAGTATGTCACAGTTTGGCACTCTTGTCAAGATTCTGGACCTTATTTGTATTCTTATTTCAGGTTTTATCAGACGAGATTTACGAGCATATATATTATATATATCCTCCAGCAGAACACACAAGCTTTGCTTCATTACCGGGCATGTGGGAAAGAACCTTGACCGTGAATGGATTTTCTAAGGTAAGAGATTATAAGCAAAAATGCGCAAGGGTTTTAGTTACATTAGACCCCCTAATCTTTGTTAATATTAGACCCTAAATCGATTAAGTTGATTTAAATAAGACCCCCAAATCTATTATGTCATTTTAAATAGGACCCTCAAACCTATTAAATTGTTTTAAATAAGACCTCCGTTGCGAACAAACAGGAAGATTTGGGTGGGTCTAATTTAGAAATATGAAGGTTTGAGGATCTAATTTAGAATTAACAACGATTTGAAGGTCTAATATGACAAAAACCCAATGCACAACTACATGAATGGGAACATGTAGAACAACTTGGACTCAACGTTCTATGACTAGTTCACTGCATCAAATAATAATGTTGTACCTAGCAGTCCATACGGTCTCTTTTGATATTACAGCTCTTTTTCCATCTAAAAGAATCACCTTTGAAGGCACCTCGAATTATTAACAATACTGGGTGAGATCTAAAAGTGGATGTGGTAGCTTTTGCAGGCATTTGCAATGACTGGTCGGCGACTTGGATATCTTGCAGGCCCTAAACACTTTGTAACAGCTTGTGGAAAGATCCAGAGCCAGGCCATGCCTTCTTCTTTCTCAGTTCTATAGACCCATATTTTGCATCAAATCAAAATCTGTACATTTTTGTCCACATTTGTTAATTTTATATATTATAGCCACATGGTTGCATCGGCATCTTGCTTTAGCTACTCATCTTCATCAGTTTCTTCGACGTATAACGCATCGCCTCTTTCTCGACACAAAAAAGGGGATATGCGCGAGGCATCATGCTGATGATACCAGAAAAGGAATAATTATATTACTTGGTCCGATACCTAAAGTTTACTCATTTTTTCACTTTGACACACCGAAGTGTTTTTGTAACACTTTGATACCTCAAAAGTTTCAATTCCATTTCACTTTGATACCTCTTCCATGTTTCTTAAATTTATATCTCGTGTTAAGCATGTGGTATCCCCGTCCACGACTACCGGAACATTTGGTTGACTGGATCGTTAGCAACTAGGTAAAATTGGCCTAAATGTAATAATATTTAATAGAAAATCTTACAAAATCGGGATGGGGGTATCAAAGTGAATGGAATTGAAACTTTGGGGGTATCAAAGTGAAATAATAGGTAAATTTGGGATACGAGATAGAAAATAAGCCTTATTTTAGTTACTGTATACTAATTCTGCAAGCTAAAACTTGAATTGGCAGTCCACCTCCGGTGCCAGTAGCATTTCCCAAAAAGCAGGACTTGCTGCAAGCTAAAACTTGAATTGGCAGTCCACCTCCGGTGCCAGTAGCATTTCCCAAAAAGCAGGACTTGCAGCGCTAAACCTAGGTTATGCCGGCGGTGAAGCAGTATCCACCATGGTAAAAGCATTCAAGGAAAGGCGAGATTTCCTTGTGAAAAGTTTCAGAGAGTTGGAGGGCGTAAAAATATCAGAGCCCAAGGTAAAAATATTTTATTTATTTATTTTATTTTACACTAGCTTGCAGTGGTTTAATTTAGATCATTTTATGTCTGCAGGGTGCCTTTTATCTTTGGACAAATTTTCAAAATCAACCAATTTCGAAATTTAAATAGCAAAATCGACCTATTCGAAGTTTAATCAGCAAAACCGACCCTTTTCTTCTAAAAATGGTCGGTTTTGCTGCCGAAAATTTTTTACGACATACACGGGACTGCTAGTCCCGTGTATTTCGTGGCAGTTTGAATAACACGGGACTAGCAGTCCCGTGTTTTTTGCAGAGACTAACATCTCTGCAAAAATGAAGTGCACGGGACTGCTAGTCCCGTGCATTTCCTGGGCGCAATGAAATGCACGGGACTAGCAGTCTCGTGCATTTCCTGCACATTCACACATGCATTTCTGCTACGGGATAATTCCCTGTACAAACTCATATTTCAAATGCAACAATCATAAATTACACCATTGCATAAATATATATATCAATTCTCTGTATAAACTCATATATAAATTACACCATTGCATAAATATATATATCAATTCCCTGTATAAACACATCAAATCTAAAAATCATAAAATACACCACAAACTTATGAATCCAAATCCAACAAATGACGCCACAAACTTATGAATCCAAATCCAACAAATCACGCCACAAACCCACTTACAAATCTAATAAGTCACACCACAATCTCAGCTACAAATCCAAAAACCATCTATTGTCCCGAAATACGTTTGTAATGTACATATCAAAATAGGATTGTAATTTATATAACAATACCGATTAGCTTACATACATCCAAGAACTCTTCTCCTCCTCCTTTGTCTTCGGCCTCCTCTATCCCGACCTTCGATGAGTTCATGATCCGGTTGCGTTTGTGGTTGTGACGGTCCAGCTCCATCGTCAACACGTTGGGAAGGCCCAGCTTCATTGTCGTTTCTGCGTCGTCCTCGTCTGTGTCGTTGTTGACGTGTGTATACTAATTGCGCTACTTCTCGTCCATCATGAAGGTCTTCATGAGTTCGATGTAAGGCTTGGTGAAGCCTCTGCATTATCGACTAATATATTGATACATGTTTCTGTGCTTCGGGATATGTACCTGCGAGAGATACTTCAAAAAAATCTGAAATGCAAAAATTACTTTAAAATTCAAATTACAATATGTAAATTTTATATTTAATTCTATATTACCTGCTCCAGCCAATTCCAAGCCACTATTTGCAATGGTTTGAACATCATCTATTGCTGATACCTGTAAATTTTTAAAAAAACATAATTTAGCAATATTGAAAAATTATAATAAAAATGAACCTAAAATAAATTTGAAAATACTTACTAATTCTCTCTCATCTATACCCCAATGCACATATCCTCTTTGCAACTCAACCGGGGATGTGGTCGCTGGAGTATCCATCTTCTAGTTATCCTCCAATACCAAGTGTAGTAATCTGATTCCTGGGGAGTTGGCTCGATTTGCTCAACAATACAAAAATGTCTATCATTCTATCTGTGTATATAATTTTGATGCTCAGCTGCCCAGTCCCTTTGTTGGCCTCCTTTCTTCGCCTTCTTCTTTATTTTTTCAACAAATTGCGGAACATGTTGTGCAAGACCAAATTGTCGAAGCACGCGGTCCGGTACATGCATTTCTACTATCTCGAAACATATTAGAGGAACTCTGGCTCTCCATATAACTGGGTATTCTGTGCATATCGGGGGTAGATGATCGAGAAATGGGGTGTAGGGTTCCCATTCCATCTACAGAGTATTACATATAATTGTTGCATATCATTAAAACGAAAGTTGATATATAGAAGAAAAAACTCATTTTTGTAGAAATGATACCTGAAAAATCTTCATGCGGTCAAGCTCATTTCGATAGAAATCTAACTGTCTCGCCGGGGTCTCGTCAAAACATTTTTGGACATTCCATCTGTGTTAGTTTATAATTCAGTACCAAATGAATAACTACAATTATATTTACTACGTTAAAAAATATAATACCTGCATCCTAGTGGAATTTGTCCGTCTAATTGTAAATCCACGCATAGTCTCGGCTTCAAATGCAGCCTCTCACATGCCCATACTTGCAGTAAGCTAAGACACCCTTTGAGGTCACTATTTTTCATGAATGCAACTTTAGACATCTCTCTATATAGGTACGCCAAAACCGCACTACCCCACGATAACGCACCACACGTGTCCAAGTCCCCGATAAGTGGTAACCACCTAGCATTTTCACAACATTTCAAGTTATCAAAATAAGCTAAATGAACAGACATAATTGTAAATACTGATAAAAATGATATCTGCCATGCACTTTATCTTTACTCGAATCTGGAAATAATATTGAAGCGATCATGTGCATAATGTATGCACGTGCATGTTGCTCAATCAATATTTGCGGCGCATCAAAAGGCAACGGCACCGAGAATGTCTCTTTTAGCCACTTCAATTTAATATTTCCTCCAGGCATTGACTCTGGAGCTACACCTAACAACTCCTCACACCTGTCCGGCCAAAAATGTCTATCACTGCCGGTAACGCACGGACCATCTATGCGGAGACCAAGTATCATAGCTACATCCTGTAGCGTAATAGTAGACTCTCCCATTCGGAAGTGGAAAGTGTTGGTCTCCGGCCTCCACCTATCTATCAAAGCGGTGAGTAGGGGCCAATCGAGCCTCATCCAACGAAGCTTTGAACATGTCAAGAAGCCGGCCCGTCCTACAGCTGCTATTATGCGCTCATCCTCTAGATGCCAACGGCTATGGCTGAGGCTATGATCAACCATAACAATATCCGGGCCTCTCTGTAAAGCAAATGAATATATAAGAATACAATATTATAAGAATGCAATATTGAAATTATAAGAAAGGATATAACATGTAAACGGTGTCGAGGCTGGTCATATAGGACCTCATCACTAGTCGGTCCAGGCTCCATGGTGTATATACCTGCACATACAATTATAACATATCAATAACCGATCCACGACTAATTATATTGTCTACATTAAAATAAATCACAATTTAAATATGTCAATTATTACCAATTAATTGATATCTATTGAGTCTAGCTAGACAACGAGGTCGAGTATGTCCCGGTTGTTTGCAAAGACTACATTTTTTTATGCTTGACAATTCCTTCTCGTCCTTGATCCATGGTTCCCCTAATTCGTACAGATCGTGGTCGACCTGCTTGTCTCTTGTATTGAGGTGGAATTAGCCGTGGTCCAGTATATTCAGGCCAATACTGATCATCGGGCATAATTAGCTTACATATATAAGAGCAAGATGCAGAATAATAATCGATGTCCACCGACGGATTGCAACATGTATGAAGCCCGCAATATCTAGATATTACAAATTGCCAATTTGATGATTTTCTCACGGCGGCATTTAGCAACCAAGGACATTTCCTGTTTCTCTCATCTTGCTCATTTGCATGCTCTGCTTCATTCTTCTCATTGAAATAACATTTTACATAGTAGTTGGTTGCATTAGTTTTTACAGACTTGAATTTGACCCGATTTTTTATAGACCGTTCTCGCACCGCAAAGATCAATGCTTCCTTGCTCTCGAATAGGTCCCCTTTTTTAAAAGTGAAGTCTTCAGGCCGTTGAAAGTTTGGACCAACATCAACAAATTCAGCTTGCGAAGTATTTATCCAATCTTCATTATGAAACTCGTCGGGCAACGGATCTTCAGCTTCCACATAATCATTGTTAACATTAAATTGATCCATCCAACGAGAATCATCATCGATTCCAACTGCCACATGCATGCTATCAATTTGCACGTCTTCTTCTTCAATATCTTCTGAGTCATCATTTACTTCTTCTTTTACAATTGATCCGGCCGGTAGATCACCCGTAACATAGCCCGATGCATCGTTAAATATAGTACTTGACGTCCCACCAAGAGAATGCCCACTTAAATGTTGTAGTTGACACCACGGCTCTTGACTTGGAGATGTCATAAAACCACTCGACTCATTGTCTAAGTCCATCATCCGAGAAAACTCTCCTTGTGGTCGTGAAACTTGGGCAAATTCTTAAATCGGATACTTCTCAATGAACAACTCAACTGACACTTGCTTTTCCACTAATTGTTTCATGTCATTCAATT